AATTAAATCTGTGTCACAAATTTGCAAGAAAAATGGACACTATGACTAATGCATTTACTGGCTGCACTAGCGCTGTCAGGCTGCGTAAATCATTATGCCTGCTAAAACAGAGCAGATAAGAATTCCATACATTTTCATTAACTGACCGGGCTTTGCGTGTGTGTGAGAAGCCAACTTCCACACTCCCTTATTGATTTAGGTGCGGTTTGGAAGACAAAGTAAATAAAAACAGTAGCCTTGTTTTGGTTAGCTAAGCGTCTGCTCCAAGAAGTGGAACATTAATCTTTTGGAACAGTCCGAACCAGCTCTGTCACGTTAGAAAGGCATCAGAGGAAACAACAAAGCTGTATCCACACACACACCTAATTTGGACAAAGAAGATTATTGAAATGATGCATACCTTGAAAGGGTTCCTTCCTTCGGGAGGACATACACATGCCGGACACTGACCTCGTGTCATTACGTAGGTTTCGATACAGAAGGCCAAGCTAACCTACGTCAGCGTCGCAAGAAGCCTCCACCAGCACTTGCATTTTCTGGTGCCCTTGGCTTTTTTTCTTTCAGGAGTGCAACAGTTACCAGAGCACCGCTCTCTGAATTCTCTCTTCTCTACTTGACTTCTTATCATTACAGACCTTGAGATTTTGGTTACAATTCCCCATTTAAGGTGAAGCCGATGGCTGTCGCGAGGACATCCTCAAGGTTTTCAGCCTTCTTCTTCCACACATACGGCATTATAGCGCGATCGGAAACCAACTCAGCAGGCATCCTGCCACTGGGAAGGCAAGGACTACCCAAGCCAACTCAGGTGAATGCAACGTACGTGAGCGACCAGAAGGGGAGGAGCCAGGATCCACCCCTTCGCAGACCTAATTTAAGGGTTGGCAGCTGAGGCGAGGGTCTCTCTTCGGAGATCTGCGCATACCTGAGGCCTCCCGAAGGAGAGCAGCTTCTTTCTCTTGTTTCTGTGCCCGCTGCCGTTGAGTTTGAGTAAATACTCACTCACTGTAGCCTGGGATCTTACGACTCCGCTACCATTGCTATGCTTCGCATCGTGTTACAGTTCAGCACAGGAATGCATACGACGTCAAGATCCTCGGCAGACCCCTACGTAACGTTTCAGTCAATTTCTTCAAGCTTTAGGGATAAATCTACTCTCTTTCGCAAGGGAAAGCAGCTTCTCCTCAGTGCTTTTCAACCCAGCAGATCCCGTCACACATTTGAACGCTCTCCATCTACAGCAGCAACCTTACCGATAACCAACCGATCGCCCAGTATTTGTCAACCACTATCCGATTTTATTAAAATCTCATTAAGAGGAAAAACTGAAGTCACTTATTAAGTTCCACAATTATTGTAAACCGAACTGCTTAAGTGAAGGGAGGAGATAATAATATGAACTACCCAACTCCAAGCAATCCTCTGTGGTATGATTTTAAATATTCTCTTGGCTGAAATTTATGTAAATTGAATTCATCTATCATTAGTTATTACCAACCCAGCGACATAAAAACACTTTTCTTTAACAATTAGTTCTTTAAAATACCGTGTTTTAATTAGATCTGGGACATAATTAAGCCAAATGTAAATATGTGCAATATCATTCCATGCATTTTTTTGACTGCGTATTTACAGGAAAGCAGGTTTCAGATTTGTTCAACGGGAATTACTTCGCTGTAGTTTGGTACTTGCTTTCACGCCTCCTTACCAGTGACAACACCTCCAGCTCCTTAATCTCAGACTATTTCTGCCCATCAAGACCCGTTCTGATATGCAAGATGCGGAACTGCCAAACGTGTTCTTTTACATCCACATAGGCTCACCTTGGAATCACATTAAGCTGAGACTTTTCCTGGCGACATTGCGATTCACCGTTTATTTTAACCTCACTTCTCAAGGATCATTTACTAGTTCAAAAGAAAGCACAGCCCATCTTCCAGCCCGTTGAAATCAGCTCACTGTACACCATCATACCTTGGCTCTGAGCCCACAGGGCGTAGTCTGAGGACAGGAAACAACACACCATCCTCCCGACTTTCTCAGAGCTACATGCAAGCCATCTGCCAAGGTGCTACAGACAGCAACAGTAACGAGGGACAGGAGGAGAAAAAAAAAAAAAAAAAAAAAAAAAAAGCAATCTTGCTAGCAGTCAGGCACTTCAAAACCACCTCTGGGACCTGTGGTTACGGTCACATCAAGGTATTTAAAGGCAGTTATCTATGCACATGATGTGAAGAACGCAAATCACAGATCACAGATCACAGAATCACAGAATCACCTGGGTTGGAAGGGACCTCAAGGATCATGTAGTTCCAACCCCCCTGCCTAGCAGGGCCACCAAACATCCACATTCAGATCAGGTTGCCCAGGACCCCGTCCAACCTGGCCTTGAACACGTCCAAGGACGGGGCATCCACAACCTCCCTGGGCAGCCCGTTCCAGGGCCTAACCACTCTCCTTGTGAAGAACTTCCCCCTAACATCCAACCTAAATCTTTCCTCCTTCAACTTGGATCCATTTCCCCTAGTCCTGCTGTCGTCAGCCCTTCTGAAGAGTTTACTCCCCTCCTGGGTGTAGGTTCCCTTCAGGTATTGATAGGCTGCAATGAGGTCACCCCGCAGCCTTCTCTTCTCCAGGCTGAACAAGCCCAACTCCCTCAGCCTGTCCTCATAGGGGAGGTGCTCCAGCCCCCTGATCATCTTAGTCGCCCTCCTCTGGACCCTTTCCAAGATCTCTCTGTCTTTCTTGTACTGAGGGCTCCACACCTGGACACAAATAATGTACATCTTTGCTTCATAATGCATGTGAATTGCGAGAGAGGATCTCCACTTACAGGCACGCCCAACAGATAGGCACCGATATCAACTGGGCGATTTCCAAATAATTCTACCGCGAGCTTCCGCCATCTTCTCAGAAACACGCCGCTTGCTTTCATGACTGACACCAGAGTTTCCACTTCAGAAAATAGTTCCACATTCAATGAATCTCAGGTGGTTCATACTTACCAAGAAAGTATTTAATTACACCTGCTGACATTCAGGAGCCACTCAATTAAAGGCCAAGTAGACTCCAGCACTGTGAAAACAGTGAGCAACTCTGGCATACTATAACAGTCCGATTAGCACTCCTGTATTTTCAGTCGCAAGTGTCATCCTATCACTGTCGGGGAAAAGTTAGTCAGACCAAAGCGATTTGTTTTCTCTCCTTTATATACACACATGTATGACCTTACATAATTGTTATTTACAGTAACTACCTAAAGGTAGGTATTTGTGACTTAGTAGTGGCCCCTTCCTTTAACGTTACTTAACGTAATTTTAAAGATGAGCGAGCAAAAAACAAAGCTAGCTGGTACTGAGGCTCGATTCTTGCTCATCTTTACTGTTTGCGCAAAAGCCTTTCCAGGGAGTATTTCAAATAAAGTTACCACGCGTACACGCAACGTCTGAAGCGAGTAAAATTGACAAATACAGGTATTACGTAGAGGTAAAAACAACTTCCTAGAGACGAGTTTACAGGACTAAGCTCAAAATCAGGATATCACACGAACGCCTCAACTAGCCACGCTTCTTTAAGGCGCGTCTCTTCTAAGAGCGACAAGCCGAATTTCTAGAAATTAAAATACACATATGTTGCTGCACTAAGATCCAGCATCACAGTCAGATGCTCTGAGGCCTAAATTCTTATTTGAAGTCAAAAGCCATTCTCTTAATGACAGCTGAACCGATGCCTTCGGGTATTCTAGGAAACCTCCTGAACTGAAGCCCAGGGATAGCGAAGAAAGTGGAGCTCGTGCCAAGCCACTAGAGAAGATGCCAGGTGCACACAAAGACTTGAAACACCAGGACTCCGCAATCTGAGGCAGAAAGTACTTTCTTGTCATTAGACGAAGACATGACAGGAAAAACAATTATTTGGGAACTGCCAACCCACCCACCCACAACCCCCAGCAAAAAAAAAAAAACACAAAAAAACCAGCAACCAGGAGCACAGCTTCCTCTGTCGGCAGTATTTCTTTGCACATCTGAACTCCTTAACTCTGGCCTTCCAGAATAAAGATCCGCACTAAGCGAATTATTTTGTTCCAGAAGCTTTGACTTTCATTTTCTAATTTGAACTGAATCCTCTTTCTCGTAACAGAAAATTGTAAATGCTATCACTCGCTTCAAACGCGCACAAGTGTTCGTAAAAAGGAACCAATTCCAGTACAAGCTGCCCAAATCAACGAAGCAGCTATAGTAGCTGTTCTACACGTAAAATCGTTTCCAGTTACTATTCTTTAATGTCTGCTAAGCAACATATCCATAAAAGAAATCTATTATTCTTGTCTTCATAATCACGCCCATGTAGAGCTCTTCACAGGGTTGCCCGAACCTTGGCAGACCATCGCGCCCACAAATCCCGCTTTGGCTTTGTACAGAAACGACCGTATTTCCAGCGGGACCAACTGATCGCTTTTCCAAAGCTAGCTATTTTAGCGTGCTCCTCAGAGACACAGAGCAGCTTCACTGACAGTGAAATATGCTAAACAAATGACATGTCACAGAGTAAATTAGCATCCACTTTCTGATCAGCTGGGTCATGTTTTCTTTTCAAAATCCATGGTCTCTCGATAGAAAATAATGAGTATTTGATGGGTCTTATTAGAAAAATCAATATATTGACGCCCACGTGCAAAACATCCGCATAATTATAGATTCAGTTAAGGCATTAAGCAGAAAATTAAGATGTGTTTACACATTATTAATTTACCACAAATAGAGATAACTTAGCCACTCCTTTTCTCGAGAGTTTAACAAGACTAAAAGAAATTGTAGTATTCGTATGGAATAACGTGAAGAACCAAAGTGAGTTATTGCATTTTTTCCTACACAAAGCACACGGTACCATCAGCGCTAACGTGACAATGCAATTTAACAATGCATTTAACAGCGCAAACACTTCACCGGCATTGTTAAAAAGAAGATGAGTCAAGCAGTTATCAATGCCGCGTTACTTACCAAAAAGCTTCCGAAAGCAGAATTAAATATAGCAGCTGCCTGAAAAGAGAAAAAAAAAAAATATATCACCAATGGTAAAGCAACCGTAGTACAGGAATGAGGTGTTTTTCCCTCTCAATCAGCAGTTTGATTCTCCAAGCAACTACCGAGAGACCACGAAGTGCATAACCACCACCTCAAATAAGCCAATGGCCTACAACTTTTCAAGTCTGAAAAGGTTCTAGTCCACACATTCATAAAAATGCGTCACGATGACAAAAGTAGGAGGAGAATAAAAAATAATCTTTGCAGGTCAACTTACGTGGAATATCCGTAAGAACTAAGGATGTCACACAGAAGATTAGCATTACCGATTTGGCACCGATTTGCCAGGCATATTTTTGCATATTGACCTGTTACTTAAGATAAATATAATCCGTTTCACCTTCAAGGCTACTTACATAGACATTTAACAGTTTTTAAAGTAGAACATTAATGAGGTAATTGCTCATCCTAATAAAGTATTGACAGATGTTGATCAAACTACAGAAACAGCCTTCAAATAGGAACGACAACAACAAAAAGCAAACCAAAGGAGGAAATAAAAAAAAAAAAAAAACCAAGAAAATCAAAACCACCCCCTATACCTGAGGCCAAACCATCAAACCATTCCTTTTTACTCCGCACCCTCTGGAATGAAAAGAAGCTATTTTGAGATGACTTTTGAAGCCTTTGTGCTTACCAAAAGATCCAGGAAACGTAAGGTAGCAGTGTTATTTCTTAACATTAACTCAAAAAATTCCAGGAAGTTCAAAGTTGAATCTTGAAAAGGTTCCCCCAGTTACCAAGAAAGAACAAACTCCCGTATGGCAGCCAGTCCGACGACGAAAAGCCACACAGCAAAGTTACGAGGCAAAGGAGGAGGGAAACGTACCGTTTACACAAAGATTTAGAGCAGAGTCAAATTAATCAGCCTGGACGTTGTCAGACAAAGATTAATCACAAGGGCACGCTAGTGAGTTTAGCGAGTTTGAATAAAGTCCAAATTCAGGGTAGGAGCTGTAGCCGAACCTGCCTTCTGCTCCATAAGAGGATGCAATGAAAACGAATGGGTAATGAGATCCCTGGCTCTAGAGAGCTCAGCTTTCTTATTCAAGTTCATAATTAATTCAAAGCTTTGATAATTTCATTAGATTCCTCCTCTGCCGGCCCTATCAATAAAAGATGGCACTGGACCGCAGCTCCTCAGCGGCCCGAACACAAAAACAAACGCAGCCTGGGAAACCTTCGCCGACTCGCTTACTAACGGGGACAACGGCATACGGCACCTCGTGCTGCGCAGGGAGCACCTGAATAGATCCAGCTAAATAAAACATTAAAGTTGACAGTCGTAAACTACGCTAACATATTTTAACACCTTGTCCTCATCAGCATTCCTTTTTTTTTGAACGTAAAAAAGAGGCACAAGTCCAAACGGCTTCTGTTGCCGGAGATGGCGGCTGAAAGCGGGACTATTACTTAAAACAGTTCTTCAACAAGTGCGAATTAAACCCGGAGTATCACCTCGCATTTGAAGCCGTACAGCTGATGTTTTCAACTGGCAAGAGGGAACTGTCACACCTTGCACACGACCCCATCACACGGCATCATTTTCAGTATCTCAGACGTCTGCGGTAATACACTGAACATAGGAACAGCAAGAGGGCTGTGATTGATAACAAAAGAAATCCAGTCTGATAAAACCCAGCTGTATAAAGCTACATTAAAATCAACCGCCGCATCTGAAAGAGGAGCATCCGGGCTCCCGGTCAGCAGCAGAAAGCTGGGAGGAAACGCGCCGATCCCCACCTCCGCACGAGCACAAGGAGCGCAGAGCAGCAGCTACCTTGCCGCTGAGCACAAAGAGCTGCATCAGTCACCCTCTGCGAGACACCCGGAGAAGTCCACCTAACACTGACGGAGACCCAGGAAAGTAGTCCTTCCTCTCTACTTCGCTAAGTTCAGCTTTGCATCTCAGCCTAACCAGTAAGACCTAACCAGTAACCTCTCGCTACTCTCAAGCATGTCAGAGGTATCGAGGCAACAATCTTAGGCATATGTAACGCTTCAAGTATTCACCCGGTCATATGCAGAAGTCATAATTTGCGACTCGCCCAGGGCGAGTCGATTTTTAATTTTTAATTCCTTTCTCTAAAGCGTCAGGAGCCGTCCACAGCCGATGATTAAACACTCATCACAGGCAAATGGAAGAAAACAAAAAAAAAAAACCACACAGTAAGAGCACAAATGAAGCTACGTTCAGATGAGTCGCCTCAGGGAGCCAGGGCTTGCAAATGCCAACTACTATATTTGCCATTCTCTTTCGAAACTTTTTTCTTGCAGATTAAACACAGAAGTAGATTTTTCTCATACCCACAAACCCAGGGTTCATATTTGCTATTCCAGTTTAGCATTAAGCCAACTGCTAGTACACCCAATCAGCGCTCCAATTTGTAATTAAGCGTACCAAGCAGCACAACCGTGTAGAATTTAAACACGCTTGCGCTTCCAACTCCTTCCTATCAATAGGGATAATATTGCCTACATACCTCACAGGGCATTGTCAAAATTAATTCACTCCTTAAAAAGCACTCTGAGATCCTTAGAGGCACGGTACAAACAAACATCAGCGCTGATACATGATACCGAGTGTCTTCATTTTTTATTCAGAACATTTATTAGTCACTATCACCGCACTTTTTTTTTTTTTTTTTTTATACTTGCTCCTCATGTGCCGTAACAAATACCAGGTAACAGTCAGCTCAAATGAGACAATAATACAGAGAAACTTCTAGACGCCCTTATAACACTCCAAGTTCAGATCCGCACGTGTTTGCAGACCATACGCTGCACGCACCTATAACAGGAGGTCAGAGACGCGTATAAAATCCACGTTAAGATCCTTTCAAGAGGTAAAGCCATAGCCACAGAATTGAAACGCAAGGTCCGATCACAGTCAAAGGCCCGGTAAGAACCAGACCAGTTAGTCAAGCTTACGCCAACTCGGAAACCGCAGGTTGAAAGTCACCGTCGGTGCCTTTAAAACCGGTACAGAAGAATACGTTTAAAACAGTAAACCCTAGCCCCGCTCAACAACAAATTCACGTAACATGTAACAGGCGCAATTGCAGGCAACAGTACGGCACCAGGCTGGAGGGAACGCTCCGGGGAACGGCTCGCATTTCCAGCCAAGGTGACCGGCCAGCAGCATTTCCAAAGAAGACGGAACTAGCCTGCCTCTGAAGGACAACCGTTAACACTCTTTGGCAGAAGCTTCCTTCTCCCCGTTTGCGACTGCAGCGCAAAGCGTCACCCCTTCAACTCCCACCGCATCCTGAAACTTACGTACGGAAAACACCAAAGTTTGTAACAGTGAGAGACAACACAGTCCACGCAGCTACAAAGGTTAGGGAAAAAAACAAATGAAACGGTTATGCACAACTCAACCATGAGGTTTTTTTTTTTTGGGAACTGAATGCACACAAATACGTGCATTTGAGTCCCGAGCGTCGTCTAACAGCTTTCAGGGACGTGACCTTCCCAACCGGTTTTGACTGGAAGGCAGCGCCCAGGCGGCCCAAGGCGCACGGCAGGCACGCCAGGACCGGCGTGGCCCCAAACCGTCTCCTGTCGATGGAGAGGTCACTTCAGGGCACACGCAAAGGAGCGAAACTGAAAGGCCTCAAAATATCTCCGTAGGAAATAGTCCGGCCATCCTACGGCACAGCTCCACGCAGGTCAGCAGTTACCCGTACCTAAAGCTTATTTTTTCAGCCCCGCACTAAAGAGATATACAGTTCAAGTACCGAGCGTAAGGCTCAGTATCTTACGTAACAGGCACGGCACAATGAAAGCACAAAAAAGCACGAGAGCAGAAAAGGTTTGGAGAAGAAAAAAGCGAAGAATTGAGTAGCGCTACTGCAGGATTACCAAGTGGAAGGCAGAAAGCGTGTCATGTTAGCGTAACACAGTGCCAAGGGTATTAACGCCAAACGTAATAGATCCACGTCTCGTATTTGGTAGAGGAAAGCAATAAGGAAAAAAAGGGTTGAAGACAGTCACGGAAATTATTTGAGCAAACGGGAGACAAAAGGAAATGGCATCTACCCAAAGAGATCAGTATAGTTCGAGAAGGCGGAGGAAGAAGGCAGCACATCCGAGGTAGCTTGAATGAGACGGCAGAGTCCCTTTAAACGACTCCTTCAATCTCCTCTTTAAAAATAACATCTCACGTGAGCGTTACCGCAGTTCACCTCTTAACTGCTGTTCCCATCAATAAGATGCTACAGCTCTGCAGGAAGGTATTCGCCACAACGCTGTTACCGCAAACGGAATATAAATAGACCTAATAAGGTTTAATCTGCGTTGCCGTTCATAACTATTCATCTGAGCTCAGATGGGAAAAAATACATATATTCAAGTTTGCGATTTTGAGCACTAAATTGAATCAGGTGTCCTCTTCTCTTAAGAAAATTAAGTTGCTTTTGTGCACGAGTGTTTTAATGAGAGCAGAGCCTGCCGACAGTGATAAATGGGAACGACACCAGAGAGAGCACGTAAGCAGGACAATACGCGCATGTTACAGTCTTACAGGCTATTTTTCACTGACTATCCTGAATGACTTTGCTGTTTCTTAAGGGGCCTATTAATCTCAAATTTAGTTATTACACAACGTTTATTCGAACATATATTCTGCGGATGATGACAGTTAATAAAGGAAATCTTTTACAAGCGGTATTTTTACATGTTGTTCCGACCGCAGCTCCCAGTCATTCTACCGCATTGACGGAATAACCTCGTTACGATGCAGCTTTACAAAAGGCACATATATTCAGATTCTTTTCTAAGCACGCGGGGACTTTAAATAACTGTTAAAACGCGTATAAAAATCCTACCAGCGGCAGGCAAAAATACGAGAGGTAGCGTTAACCGTCCAACCAGATCTCCGCCCGCACAGCTGCCCGCTCGCAGGCAAGGCGCGAGCCTTTCTAACAATGCCGCATAACCTTCCGGAAGCATAC